ACTAATGCAACAGTGCCTTACCTAGCTATTAAGATTCTCATTGAATGTATAACAGAAAATATAACAACTTTTTTTGGGAATATACGAGTAGTAGAAACTTGGTGGCGTACGAGAAAAGAAGTTTGACCTCTGACATAGACACAATAATAAAAAGTTATAAAATGAGCTAAATTTATAAAAACTCGAATTTAAATAAACAAATTAATCCGAATAAATATTTTCATGTTTGAAGTTTTTTTACGTTTTATACTCGGCTCTAAATAACGCTTAGGAAAAGGTTTATACTATGTCACCGAGTACATTAAGGCCAAAAGCTTATCTTTTTTCCTCTCAATAGTTGCCCTGCAACCCCTGGCTACAAGTCAATAGCCCGGGGCGGTGACGGATGTCGTAGATATTTATCACAGACTAGTGGCCTAATTCACGTATTTTGACACAGTCAAAATCTTGCTGACGTTCAGAAGTCGTCCCATTGAAAACAGTTCTAAATCCGTATTCACAAGGGTCATTTCGATAGAACGATTACTCAATAGGATCGCAACTCAGCGATTTGTTGTGGTTGAAGTTTTGTTACGTGAATAAGGCTATAGGTCTCCACCCCGAGAAGTCAGGATAATGAATAAACAGTACCTAATATACACATTTAAATCTGCTGGACCAGCTTTAGCAATATTTTAGTAGCGATGAAAATAGTATCACACATGACTGAACACACCTTTAAAGCCGACACCGGTATCATGTTTCGACTTCAATTAACATGAAAAACAGAATTGTTACAAATAGTCGAAACACCTATGTAGCTTTTAATTATGTACAAAAAACCTAGTGTATTACGTGTCTTATTTCTTGCGTCAATAGCAATTTACTAATAATATGCAAAATAAATGTTTCATGCACAAGTAGACAAAACTGCGGCAAAACAGCTAAAATGAATTAACGAATTGGTTAGTTAATTGGTGTTATTGATTAATATTTCTAAAATGTTTGCCAAAATCAGCGCTATGATACCAACTATCTAATTTGCAGCTTTCGGCCAAGATGAAACTTATTGTACACCATGTGAATAACTATCTTGATTTATAGTGACTTGAATAACCACTTATACTCGTATATCTACATTGTGTTCGAATAGGCAATCGCAGAACAAAAGGAGCCAAGTCATCGTAGATGAGGGGCTTAATAGTAAGTAGAGAGTGTGAGCTATATTTTTTTTCGTGATAACTTTTGTTGGTCACTTTTCTATTGTTTGCTAATGTAGGGGCGTTACCATGGTTGTGGATTCTTATATTTTTCTTTATTTTGCTGTAATAATAGATTTTATAAGTCTCTTTAATTGAGCTTCATAGCTGAAACGGGCTGCGATGGGAAGTTATCTCTGGAGTATAAAATCATAATTCTTTAGATTTATTCTACCTACACATGGAACAAACATTGTTGAGCCTTAGACATTAATTAGGTCGATCTATTTATAGGCAAATAAATCTCTGCTAATCTTCAAAATATCGAGAATATTTTCCCTTCACGACAGCCAATAACTTGTAAAAACATCTGTTGTAAGTATCGAATAAATATTTATTTGAAGACAAAATAAAGGGAGAACTTTTCCAGCGTGATTAAGTTATTAAAACTTTCGTAGGTACCGGCTTTCTCAGGTTTAAGCATTATTTCATAGAATTTATTTTAGATTATGTCCAATACGATCATAAGACGATTAAATAGGTAACAACAAAACTAAATTGTTCTCCAAAAATGTTGCTGCTTTAAAAACAATTTTTAGTCTGAGCCCCGGTAGATAATCGTAATTTCTAAAATACGTATATTATTTTTTTATACATTTATTGTACATTTATTATACATAATTCAAACATTGTTAGATAGTATTAATTATAACATAACTTTTTATTGATAAAATCGCCTAAACTATTTACTATTGTTAACACTAAACGTTCATTAATTGAATGACGAGTAAAACTTACCAAACAGCAGCAGCAACAGATCGCTGAGCGCCAAGCTGAACAGGTAATAGTTAGTCGCGGTATGCAGCGCAGGATGGCGGACGATGACGACGCAGACCGCCGCATTCCCAGCTACACCAGTCAGGAAGATCACCACCAGCACCAGGGAGATGGGAACTATCTCCTGGAGCGGCAGCCGGCGCGGACCCATCATCCACCAAAGCATCTCCTCCTCGCTGCAGTCGAAGTAGCTGAGGTTCGTGCATCTCTTGTAGAACTGCTCGTTCGTCTCGTTCGGCCGAAGGAACGACTCCTCCATTTTGAGGCTTTTTATTACACTTCAAAAAAGGTAACGTTTTGACACATTTTTTTAAGACACTAAATTAACTCAGTTCATCACTAAAAGTTAACGACCAATTCTCATTTCATCTCAGAAAGTTATTAACTTAAAAAAGGTGTGAATTTTACTTAATAAACTGCACCAAATTAAATTTGAAACTTCTTATACACCTTCAAAACACAATCATACCTCTTAACATACTAGAAACTTCAAAACCATTCGATTTCTAAAGTAACTAATAAGCTTTACGTAGCGAAGTAAGTTCGCTTTCGTAGCGGCTACGGCGTAGCAGCGCGTTACGACTGGTGCGCTCCGTAGCTACGGCGGCACTGCGCGATGCTGGCTTGGCATGGGCCAAGCAAAACAGAACATAGGTTCTGTTTACAACTGTACGTACATTTAACTTGTGTTGTCTTAATAGTTTTACAAGTGGAATATACATTGCTACAGAACAGACGATTTCGTGTCTAGGTTCTCAAGTAATTACAAACTACAAATTCAATAGATATTCTTTCTTTTCCGTTCTTTGTCAACTTTAAACAACTTTCAGTTCTAGTTCAGTCGACGGAAGACATCGTTTTATTGCTGTAATTACATGTATAACTTTTTATACACTTGACTTTCATTTAACAAAGCTTTATTTCGATACTAGCTTTCCGCCCGCGGCTTCGCCCGCGTGGAATTTTGTCTGTCACAGAAAAACTTTATCGCGCGCGTCCCTGTTTCAAAAACCGGGATANTAACCGAATTATACACACAACCCTGCGTTGCGTGCCCCTTGGAGAGACATCGAACTTTCACTAAATATAATTTACGGTTACATTATTTTTGGACGGTGTCTTCTCCAAGGGTTGCGCAATAAGCAAGGGCGTCCGCGGAAGACCAGCTTCGTGACTTGCCCTTTTGAGCATGTCACGATAAATGCTGAGCGGGTGCCTATTGGCACAGTTTTTTTCTCATCACTTGTTTTTAATAGCCTACATATTTTGTGTTTTTGTTGTTTTTTTTGTATTGTGTCTTTTTTCTTACTGTGTCAATAAACCTTTTCTATTCTATTCTATTCTATTCAAAAACGTTTTAAAATATCTGAATTCTCTATAAATACTGTAAAGTTCGTACAAATCCTTTTCTATAAATAAGGTTATATTTTTGATAGCAATTGTTATTTTAGGGTAGCAAGCTGACCCATCTCACACGGTCCTCTTACTTTCTGTATACAATATGTATGAGGTACAGCAAAGTGAAACCATCCGAAGTAAATTCGATAAGCAGAACGCAACAGACGTTCGTAACTTATTTTTAAACTTTTAGGTAAATCTAATAATATCTTATGTCTTTTTTGGGAAGCTATTTTTAACGTAGTTAGATTTACCGTCTATGGATCTTCTTAGGCATGGTTTGCGAATGCTGACTTAAAATATCTACTGATTAAAAATTAGATTTTAATAAAGAAATCCACCCAATCCATCTTTCTCCTCTTGAGAATCTAAGATAAGCTTTTTAATATAAATGTATTATCGTTTATATTTTTAGCTAAAATTGATCCGACACTTTTAGTCGTGGGCGGACATTTTACTCACATTCCATAGGCACGAATATTAATATCAGCAATAACAAGGGCTTAGTGATGGGGATTACAAACTCTGCTACGAATATAATGATGAGTGTGTAGGTAGGAAGTATTTTTCTAGTCACCTAAACCTACATGATAATATTTTTATTGGTTTTGAAACGTAATTTCACTAAAGTTAAAAATTTGGTGGTATCAAGTCTGCCACCAACAGTTAAAGGCTTAAGAAAAGCCCCAGATAATATGCACATCAACCCTCTATAAATCTTAGACTACCCCAGTATAGGGGTGTCACGCACCTTGAGCTCACACATGAAGCGCCCTCGATACGCAACGTATGTTGACAATAACATTGTAAAAGAGAATAGTAAAGTATCTTCACGCCTCGCTGATGTGTTTACTAATGCAACAGTGCCTTACCTAGCTATTAAGATTCTCATTGAATGTATAACAGAAAATATAACAACTTTTTTTGGAAATATACGAGTAGTAGAAACTTGGTGGCGTACGTGAAAAGAAGTTTGACCTCTGACATAGACACAATAATAAAAAGTTATAAAATGAGCTAAATTTATAAAAACTCGAATTTAAATAAATAAATTAATCCGAATTAATATTTTCATGTTTGAAGGTTTTTGTACGTTTTATACACGGCTCTAAATAACGCTTAGGAAAAGGTTTATACTATGTCACCGAGTACATTAAGGCCAAAAGCTTATCTTTTTCCTCTCAATAGTTGCCCTGCAACCCCTGGCTACAAGTCAATAGCCCGGGACGGTGACGGATGTCGTAGATATTTATCACAGACTAGTGGCCTAATTCACATATTTTGACACAGTCAAAATCTTGCTGATCAGAAGTCGTCCCATTGAAAACAGTTCTAAATCCGTATTCACAAGGGTCATTTCGATAGAACGATTACTCTATAAGATCGCAACTCCGCTATTTGTTGTGGTTGAAGTTTTGTTACGTGAATAAGGCTATAGGTCTCCATCCTGAGAAGTCAGGATAATTAATAAACAGTACCTACCTAATATACACATTTAAATCTGTTGGATCAACTTTAGCAATATTTTAGTAGCGATGAAAAGAGTATCACACTTGACTGAACACACCTTTATAGCCGACAGCGGTATCATGTTTCGACTTCAATTACTTACAAGAAAAACAGATTGTTACAAATAGTCGAAACACCTTTGTAGCTTTTACTTATGTACAGATAAGTGTAATAGGTATCTGTCTATTTCGTGCGTCAATAGCAGTTCATCAATAAACATTAGTACTTCCCACATTACTAATAATATGCAAAATCAATGATGCATTTACAAGTAGACAAAACCGCGGCAAAACAGGTAGAATTAAATAACGAATTGCTTAGTCGATTAGTGTTATTATTATATTATTATTGTTTTTGATTAATATTTCTAAAATGTTTGCCAAAATCAGCGCTACGATTTCAACTATCTAACTAATTTGCAGCTTACGGACATGATGAAACTCATTGTACACCATATGAATAACTATCTTGATTTATAGTGACTTGAATAACCACTTATACCTACTCGTATCCACATTGTGTTCGAATAGGCAATCGCAGAACAAAAGGAGCCAAGTCATCGTAGATGAGGGGCTTAATAGTAAGTAGAGAGTGTGAGCTATATTTTTTTTCGTGATAACTTTTGTTGGTCACTTTTCTATTGTTTGCTAATGTAGGGGCGTTACCATAGTTTTGGACTCTTATATTTTTCTTTATTTTGCTGTAATAATAGATTTTATAAGTCCCTTTAATTGAGCTTCATAGCTGAAACGGGCTGCGACGGGAAGTTATCTCTGGAGTATAAAATCATAATTCTTTAGATTTATTCTGCCTACACACAAAAGGGAACAAACTTTGTTGAGCCTCAGATATTACATAGATCGATCTATTTATAGGCAAATATTCAGAAAATTGGGTAATCTCTGCTAATCATTAAAATATCGAGAATATTTTCCCTTCACGACAGCCAATAACTTGTAAAAACATCTGTTGTAAGTATCGAATAAATCTTTGTTTGAAGACAAAATAAAGGGAGAACTTTTCCAGCGTGATTAAGTTATTAAAACTTTCGTAGGTACCGGCTTTCTCAGGTTTAAGCATAATTTCATAGAATTTATTTATTTTAGATTATGTCCAATACGATCATAAGACGATTAAATAGGTAACAACTAAATTAAATTGTTCTCCAAAAATGTTGCTGCTTTAAAAACAATTTTTAGTCTGAGCCCCGGTAGATAATCGTAATTTCTAAAATACGTATATTATTTTTTTATACATTTATTGTACGTATTATAAATTAACATAATTCAAACATTGTTAGATAGTATTAATTATAACATAACTTTCTATTGATAAAATCGTCTAAACTATTTACTATTGTTAACACTAAACGTTCGTTAATTGAATGACGAGTAAAACTTACCAAACAGCAGCAGCAACAGATCGCTGAGCGCCAAGCTGAACAGGTAATAGTTAGTCGCGGTATGCAGCGCAGGATGGCGGACGATGACGACGCAGACCGCCGCATTCCCAGCTACACCAGTCAGGAAGATCACCACCAGCACCAGGGAGATGGGAACTATCTCTTGCAGCGGCAGCCGGCGCGGGCCCATCATCCACCACAGCATCTCCTCCTCGCTGCAGTCGAAGTAGCTGAGGTTCGTGCATCTCTTGTAGAACTGCTCGTTTGTCTCGTTCGGCCGAAGGAACGACTCCTCCATCTTGAGGCTTTTTATTACACTTCAAAAAAGGTAAAGTTTTGACACATTTTTTTAAGACACTAAATTAACTCAGTTCATCACTGAAAGTTAACGACCAATTCTCATTTCATCTCAGAAAGTTATTAACGTAAAAAAGATGTGAATTTTACTTAATAAACTGCACCAAATTAAATTTAAAACTTCTTATACACCTTCAAAACACAATCATACCTCTGAACATACTAGAACCTTCAAAACCATTCGATTTCTAAAGTAACTAATAAGCTTTACGTAGCGAAGTAAGTTCGCTCTCGTAGCGGCTACGGCGTAGCAGCGCGTTACGACTGGTGCGCTCCGTAGCTACGGCGGCACTGCGCGATGCCGGCTTGGCAGACTATGTTCTGTTTACAACTGTACGTACAGTTAACTTGTGTTGTCTTGATAGTTTTACAAGTAAAATATACATTGCTACAGTAGAACAGACGATTTCGTGTCTGGCTTCTAAGTAATTACAAATTCAGTAGATTTTTTTTCTTTTCCGTTCTTTGTCAACTTTCAACAACTTTTAGTTCTAGTTCAGTCGACGGAAGACACCGTAAAACGCTTTATTGCTGTAATTAACATATATAAATTTTTATACACTTGACTTTCATTAAACAAAGCAGTTTATTTCGATATAGATATTCGTCAGTAACCTCGAGGTCAAGTGCGGTGACCTATAGTTTCATTAGTTATCAGAAACATTTCAAAAGATTTGCAGAATTCTTTTTTTGTTTTCAATATATTCCCGTACAGCAATTGTTTTCCCACAGACATTGTTTTCAAAGACATATTCTCTGGAAAAACCTTTGTTACTCACAAGTAACAACAATAGGCCCGCACTGTCAAATAAAATTCCCCAGGTATTATTCCGAGAGAAATATTTTTAATTATTAAAAACCGTTAAGAGGACGCTGCTCTCACGATGACTTATGAATTTAATAAAAATCCCCTCGTGTGTACGCAGCAGCCTAATAAAGAAGAATATTCATCGATGGCTTAGCTGGAAATTCCAATCAATAAAGTGATGAAAATTAATATCCTATAATATGCTTTACTTGCAGTGTCGCTTGTGTACATTTCTGTAAATAAAGTAAAATATTTCGCAACTGTTGTAAACAATTGTGGGATATTGAAAATCATTTTTAATAGTTTGCTTCTGTCACATAAAAAAGTAACTACCTGTACACTTATACACGTCAATCATTGTACAAAGTGCATTGTAAGATAGAAAATACAGTCAATTACTTTCTCCAGAAAAAGTTATCCGACCACTGAAAAATTTGAGTAATGGAATAAATTAAACTCTATTTATTACTCCTTGACACTAATTGGTTTCCACAATAAACAGAAAAGAACTTTCTGCAGGTTTTGTATTCGGAGAAGTCTAAGTTTGGATGTATGAAGAAGAAAACTTTTGGCTTTTTACTTGGTAGAAGGTAATGCTAATCAGAAAACCTTTTTTCGAAGTCCTTAAAACTTTTTTAGCCTTCTACATTAATTTAGGCTTTTGGTAAAAGGTTTCCTACATGGTTATTCGATTAAGGGTGGATTCGACCAAACAAGAGTAAATATTGATCTCAGAATAAATCGTCAGTTTTGACGTATTTATACTGAAACTGTCAATGTGCCAGTTATACCAAGTTATTCTCGGATCGGGCTCTCTATCTATCTCGGGTAGTTTCGTCGAATCGGGCCTTAACAATACAAATTAAATAAGTTATTTTCGTACTTAATCCCTGTTATCCGTACACAAAAGTATAAATCTGTTCCCCATACAATCCGTATAAATTCAGAAAGGTTGTCTATTTGTCTTAGATACTAATGTTTTATGTATGACTACCCCAATGCTGAGCTTTTAACACGACGGAATGGTTCTATTTTCTATTATTGATAACAGAAAACCCGGCTCTGATTTCACCCGAATATATTACATAGTACCCTTAAATATGTATAATTTATATTACTTTTCACGTGAATCGTATTCAAGGAATCGCTACATGGGACTCCCATACTTTATCTGTCCACAGCATAGGTAGTACCTACCTACTTAAATTTGCCTAGGCTCTTTTATCAAATTATTTAATGGTTTAAATCTTTAAATGGGAATTAACACCCAATTGAAAAAGTTACTTTTTCCACTTGATCATTCAAGGTCACACTTCAGGTCACCCTGGGAATCAAGCCCTAAGCCCACGAGTGCCACGAGTATAACTCAGGAACCACTAAAACATAGAGAGACTTACACGAGCAGAGACAGGTTATTACGATCACTAAAGACCCAATTTCGAAGGTGTGAATTTATCGAAACAGCAATGAATTGTCTGAGCGCAAGTGATACCAGGTTTGATTTCCGGCCGGTTCCATTAAGAAACGAACTTATCTAAATTGGGTCGGGTCTCAGAGGTCACTTGAAATAATTTGCTATTTCTCCTTTAAGTGAGTACTGTGCTTAATTTGAGGCACTTTACTCAATAATAAAACCGTTTAATTACACAACTGTCATCAGAGAAGGTGCTCGTACTCGTATTGCCATTTCCAAAAAGCTATAAAAGCAGATTGCATTGACGACTTCACCTTTAAATGTTTATCTTATTGCTGCAGATGCGAATAATCCGATCTTTTATTCGGGTTCGCAAACAAAGCCTGGATCACTCCCATTTGCATTGTTAAAACGGACTGTTTCAAACAACGACACGTCCCTAATTCAAATAAAACATTCTGTAAAAATCTAATAAAACGCTGTCTGGGTTCCGTAGTTATACCTACTAAGAATTACTTAAATTAAAACTTGTATGCTTTCGCGTTTAGGGCAAGAGCCGTCTCAGTGCCTTCAGTAAATTAAATCGAAAAGGGTCAGTTGGTTTTTTTATTGATCTAATATGAGAAAATCAACTAAGTATTTAATGTTGATCGTGGTTCATTTCTTTGATTCGTAGCACTAACTTTTTAATACTTTAAAAAAATATTTTTAGACACAGTACAGATCCCTAAACAATTTAAAATACTGTATACTCCCTTGAACAATTCATGTTTATTATCGCAGGCCGAATCTGAGACCACTCTATACCTACAATGGTTTCGATATATTCAGCTCTCTCTTTCGCTCTGAGATAAAAAGAGAAGATTTTTTTGCGGATTTGACCCCTAGACGAGGCCTTAGGGACGCTTTACATACGTTCTCGATAATATTAATAGCCATACAAATGACGCCGAAAGCGGTACTGAACATTTTAGAATGGACAATTTGTGAGTTATCAGATTTAACGGCACTCACTTGTAAATTTTGCTGTATACGTGGCAATTTTGCTGTAAAAGTGGCGTTATTCTATTGACGTACAGTCCTCTTTGCTCCTTTGCATGCATGTGCGGTCAAGGCAGTTAGCCGTTTTCAAATAATTTTATGTGTCTCATCTGGAACCTCAAAGAGGGTCATTAAGTTTCAGCTACAGAAGCCTCATTTTGTGTGGTTTGTCAAAGTCATTAAATAGACGTTTATGACGAACGTTTAGAGGGCACGCGGATTGTTGTTCGTGACCTTCATGTACGAGCCAGATGGCATCTTATATGTATGTATGTAATGCGTGCGATTATGCTATATCTAAGACTAGCTTTTGCCAGCGGTTTCACCCGCGTGAAATTTAGTTTGTCACAGATCGTCATAAATTATAGCCTATATGTTATTCTGGGTTATAAACTATAATACTGCAAAGTTTCATCAAAATCCGTTTAGTAGTTTTTGCGTGAAAGAGTAACAAACATGTTGACATCCATACAAACTTTCGCATTTATAATATTAGTAGGATGTACCTTGAAGGAATTTTTCCTTCGGCCTATGTATTTCCTTATTGAGACATTATTCGGAAAATAAGACCTATATCAGGTATTATTTTTCCACTAGAAATCGACAGGGAGGTCGATCGAAAGCTTTCAGAAGACTATCCTCTGATATGCCCGACCAGCACTCACTATTCCTTACTACGTGACGGGAATGTTGTCACGCGCGTAATACTTAATTAAAGAACACTTCGGCATTACTTCTCCAGCTCTGGTATTGTAATTTATTTATACAGTATTTGATTATGGATCAGATAGACAATATAATACTAAGCTTGATTTTATGTTTTAGGTATTCATTCTGTTTCTTCTTAATAAAACCCCTACATTATTGTAGGCATCCAATAAAGTACATTATGATGTCATCTCAAACAATTCTATTGAAGGATGGATATATTAATTTTTGTTTCCCGCTTGGGAATCGATCCCAGAATCTCCAGATCAGGATCGAACTCCACTAATCACTAGACCACAAAGGTGATAGTTTAAAATAACATAATAATATAAATTATAAACATTAAAAGAGCTTACATTCGATACACTTAAATTATGTAGGTATGTAGTACTAGATTATGTTTGCGACATGTCCTACGTTACATTATGAAACAGAAATGTACCTAGCTTAAACCTATTTACCTACTTGGCTACAGTTAGCAGGGCAATGTTTTATTGAGCATACTCGTACCTCAGAGCTTTCATAAACAAGACTTTAATATTGTACTAGCGGCCGCCCGCGACTTCGTACGCGTGGATCCCGTTTTACCCCCTTCATCTATCTTACGCGGTTTAGATTTTTTCATACAATTGTTTTTTCCCGCTAACTCCCGTTCCCGTGGGAATTTTGCAATATCCTGTTGTAACTAAACTTTAAGTTTACTAAGGTACCTGCATGTCAAATTTCAAGCGTCTAACTTAAGCGGTTTAGATTTTTCATACAAATGTTTTTTCCCGCTAACTCCCGTTCCCGTAAGAATTTTGCAATATCCTATTGTAACTAAGCTTTAAGTTTACTAAGGTACCTGCATGCCAAATTTCAAGCGTCTAACTTAAGCGAATTAGATTAGCTAATTCCCATTCCCGTTGGAATTCCTAAGTATCCTATAACCTGCCCAGGAGTATCCCAACNACTCCGAAATATACACGAG